AGCAGTATTTTTTTTTTTTTATAGCTATGTGAAGTTTAGTTGTGAAAAACTTTTTTTTAAAATATATTTTATTGATTTTGTACAGAGAGGAAGGGAGAGAGATAGTTAGAAGCATCAATGAGAGAGAGTCATCGATCAGCCGCCTCTTGCACACCCCCTACTGGGGACATGCCCGCAACCAAGGCACATGTCCTTGACCGGAATTGAACCCGGGTCCCTTCAGTCCCCAAGCGAAGCTCTATCCATTGAGCCAAACTGGTTTCGGCCGCTGTGAAAAACTTTTTGCTTGAGCCTGAGATCTGAGAGAAATTTGTCACAGAGATGTCCTGATCCTTGTTTTTTTAAAAAATATATTTTTATTGATTTTTTTTACAGAGAGGAAGGGAGAGAGATAGAGAGCTAGAAACGTCGATGAGAGAGAAACATCAACCAGCTGCTTCTTGCACACCCCCTACCGGGGATGTGCCCGCAACCAATGTACATGCCCCTGACCGGAATCGAACCTGGAACCTTTCAGACCGCAAACCGACGCTCTACCACTGAGCCAAACCGGTTTCTGCCTGAGCAGTATTTTATCTTGCAGAAAGGGGCCCCAAGGCTTTACCAGGTTTGGAAATTACTCAGGGAGACCACAGGGAGTCCTGAGGCCTTTGGGCTGGGGGCAGCAGAGCCATTCCTCACAGGGGACCCGGGAGGAGGCTGGGGCACGTCCTAGGGCATGGAGGGTGGGAGGCCAGTTCTCAGGCAGGAGCCAGAGGACATGGACATTGCAGGGAGCACAGGTTGGTTCTGGGAGCATAAGGGGGTGGCCACCTGATGCCAGCTGCCTCCCCCCAGCTCGGTGCTGCCCGATGACAGCCGGGCCAGCCGCCAGCGGACGCGCGTGGTGCGACGGAGCCTCAGCCCGGTGTTCAACCACACCATGGTGTACGATGGCTTCGGGCCGGCCGACCTGCGCCAGGCCTGCGCCGAGCTCTCCCTCTGGGACCACGGGGCCCTGGCCAGCCGCCAGCTGGGGGCCACACGCCTCAGCCTGGGCACCGGTGAGTGGGCAGGAACCTTGGGGGCAACCAGTGCTGTGGGAGGCAGGGCTTCCTGAGCGGCCTCGGGCACTTTTCCTTTGGTGAACGTGTGTAACCTGGGACCAGGCAGTATTCCTTGGACCTGGGTGTCTGACGTGACCGTGACCTCCACCCTCGCCCAGGCAGCAGCTACGGGCTCCAGGTGCCCTGGATGGATTCCACGCCCGAGGAGAAGCAGCTGTGGCAGACACTCCTGGAGCGGCCGTGCGAGTGGGTGGATGGCCTCCTGCCCCTCCGAACCAACCTGGTGCCCAGGACGTAGGTGCTGGACAAGCCTTGGCAGACCTCGCTCCGTACCCCCCTCTCAGGGCTGCCCTTGGGGAAAGTCAATAAAGTCTATTCCAAGGGCAACGCGGGGCTGGTGTGTACTCGGGGTCAGGGGATGGGGTGAGGACAGGGACGAGTGAGGGAAGCGTAGGGGCCAGGGGAAGGCACTTTGGATTCCGACATAAAGACTTTAGCCGGCTCATCCCAGGAACCCTGCACACCTCAGAAGTGGCCAAAGTCCAAGGTACAAAAGTGCTCCGTTTAACAGTCTCTGTCAGTGAGCTTGGGCATCTCTGTGGTTGGGCTGCCCCTGCCAGCACCTGGCCCCTGCCACTTGCCCCTGGGGTGGGTGTGTCAGTCCTTGCTGGCGTCTTCTCCATTCACCCTTCGTGGGTCCAGCCTCTTGCCCCCAATGCCCTCATTCTGCCTCCTGGGGTTCCGCCTCCTGGAGGCCAGAGGTAACAGCCGCGGATCCTGCTCGCTGCGCCAAGATGGCTCTCCAGATGCGGCATACCGTCCCTCCCCTGGGGATAGCAAACCAACGTGGCTCAGCCAGAAGATCTGGGCTCTCTCTGGCACCCACTGTCTGCCTACTGCCCCTCGGTCCCCAAGGGAGCCTGGTGTCCCCGTGGTTTCCAGAGAGGGAAACAGGCAGGCCTGTTGCGGGGGGGGGGGGGGGGGGATCATATACACGGGTCACCCAGGGGCGCAGGACGTACCTGATGCGTGTGTAGGTGAGGTCGTCTTTCGTGGCACAGGTCAGCAGGGCGTGGAGGGTGAAGCTGTGGTTCAGCAGCTGGTTGTGGACAGAGATGCCCGCACAGAAACAGGAAGAGATTAAAATCAGAGAGAGGTGTGTCCAGAGAGGCAAGGGCCTCGTTCTGTTTTACTACCAGCATGCTCGGGCAGGTCCCACCCCTTTCTGGGCCTCAGCTTTTTCATCTTTACAATGGGAGGGGATCCTAATTGTTCCTCTCATGCTGAGATCCTCTGCGTCAGAGGGGGAAAGTGAGAAGAGCTGAGAGGGGCAGAAGTGGAGTTTGGGTTGGTAGAGGTCATGGGCAGCCAGCACCCTCTCCCTCACTGTCTGGATGGCGCCTGAATCCACGTTCAGGTCCTGCAGCCACTGCACCAGGCCCTGGTCCACTGTTCCAGCAGCTGTGGGGGAGAAATCAGGTGAATCAGGGGTGCTCTCACCAAAAGCTGTCCCCCGCCACCATCAGTGCCCTCCCTCCCTCAGTGCCCTCCCTCCGCCCTCAGTGCCCTCCCTCCGCCCTCAGTGCCCTCCCTCCGCCCTCAGTGCCCTCCCTCCATCATCAGTGCCCTCCCTCCGCCATCAGTGCCCTCCCTCCGCCCTCAGTGCCCTCCCTCCATCATCAGTGCCCTCCCTCTGCCATCAGTGCCCTCCCTCTACCCTCAGTGCCCTCCCTCTGCTCTCAGTGCCCTCCCTCTGCCATCAGTGCCCTCCCTCCATCATCAGTGCCCTCCCTCTGCCATCAGTGCCCTCCCTCCACCATCAGTGCCCTCCCTCCACCCTCAGTGCCCTCCCTCCGCCCTCAGTGCCTTCCCTCTACCCTCAGTGCCCTCCCTCCACCATCGATGTCCTCTCTCCACCACCAGTGTCCTCCGCTCACCTCGGGGCGCTGAGGCCAGGGAGCAGGTCCCGGCTTCCTTGTCCAGCCGCTGCAGAGCTTGTTGCATCAGAGCCTGGCACTCCCACTCCTTCTCAGCCAGGACATCGCGGAGCCTGTTGGTGGCAGAGGGCCAGTAGAAGGGAGGGGAGAGGGGGGTGATGCTCACAGAGGCTATGGGTGGGTCCCAGGGGGCTTACCTATCCGTCTCTGCCCGCAAGAGGCCCAGCTGCACCATCAGAGGAGGGGGGCTCTGCTCGGGGTCCCCTGGGAGCAGGCTGGGCTGGACTGGGGGGTCCTGCTGCTTGGGCTGGGGCTCCTCTTTACTGGACTCCTCCGAGCTCTGCGGGACCGCATCCTTCTCCACTCCTGCCGGCCACAGGGAGGTGAGCTCAGGCCGGGCGTTTGGGGCCTCAGACCCGGGCAGAGGGGGCGTGGGAGCTCTGTGCACTGCCAGGTGGCGTCAGTCTGGGAGGTGTCCGTCTGGTCCCTCCCCCACCCACTCCTTCAGGCCTGGGCCAGCCCAGGTGATCACACTCCCTGCGGGCTCCGTTTGTGTCCCTGCCTCCAAGGGCCACACCCTCCCCCCCAGGCAGGCCCTCTGCCCCCGGCCCACCTGGGCTCAGCACCGCCAGGGCTGCCCGCACAGCGCGGCTGAGCAGCGAGTCCAGCACGAACATCCAGTGTGGGCGGATCTGGCGCCGGCGGAGAATCTGCTTCACCTGAGGGGGAGGATGGCACCACTGAGACTGCTAAGCCTCCAAAAGAGGTGGGGCGGGAGCTGGAAAGGCCTAGAAAGTCTGCCTGGAGCAAGTGGGGTGGACGGGCTTGACGTCAAGGGAGGGGCTGGAGAGCTAGGACTGTACAGATGTCCCTTCCCAAATGGCTCCGTCTTCGAGGAGAAGACATGGAGTCTTCCAACATCGTCCATCAGCTGTTCTTGGGCAGCCCTAGCTGAGAAAACTCACTCACCGCATCGGGGAAGGCAAAGAGGGGTCCGTGCAGCAGGGCGGGCTCCAGGCCCTGGGCCCGCAGCTGCCCCTGCAGGGCCCGCAGCTCCTGGGCCAGCTGCCGGCGATTGGGCGTGTGGATGTGCGCCCCGAGGCAGTGCAGCAGCTGCTCCACAAGATTCCGGCTCAGACGGGGGTCCTGAGAAGGAAGGCATTCCCACTGGAGCCAAGAGGGATGCTGGTGAGGGGCTGGGGTTGGGGAAGGCCATTAGCAGGCATCTGCCTGCGCTCCGCCACCAGGGGGCGCTGGGGCGGGCCGCCCACCTGCTCCTGCTCCAGCCACAGATCCTCCGCCAGCTGGGGCAGCTCCTGCTTCAGCACCTCGGCCAGCATGGCCCGCCGCTGGCTCTCCTGATGCAGCAGGCTCAGCCCCGAGCTCTCCTCGGGGGACGCGGGGTCCTCGGCTCCTCCTCCGGGCTCCTCGGGCACCCTGGGTGCAACGGGGAGCGGCCAATGGAGGGCGGGAGGCAGTACCGTCCAGCTGCCTCCGCCCCAGGGTTTGGATCCTGGCTCTGGCTTTGACTCCCAGGCCTATCTCACGGGCATACAAGAGAAACCTGGCACCCAGGAGGCACCCTCACTAAACACAAGGAAGAGCAATTGGGAGGTAGGCACCAAGTGCCATCCTTGCGAGTGGTCACGGTGCCCAGGTCCTTAGAGAGAGGGCTTATCTGGAGGGAGGACAAGGACAAAACCAGATGGAGTGAGCCTGCCCCAGGACCCTGGGCTCTCACCGGAGCTGGCTGGTGTCCCCATAGCTGAGGCAGCGCTTCGGGGGGCTGGGCGGGTGCTGAGAGGGTGCCTGAGGGCGTGGGAATGTCTGGGACAGGGTGGCGGAGTCCGCGGAGGGAAGAGGGCTGGCGGAAGGGGTATCTGAGGAAGGGACAAGGCGGTCAGCCCGGGCCCCTCGCCAGCCCTCAGCACCCCAGCCCCGGCGTGCACCCAAGCGGTACCTGGGGGCCTCGGGGCGTGCTGAGGTGAGCCGGGGCTCCGGCTCCTCCTCCCGGGCTGCAGGAAGGGGTCCCCCAGCAGGGCCTGAGCGCTGGCACGGAGACGGGGGTCTGGCTCAAACGTGCGTAGGAGGAAGGCTTGTGCCTCGGCGGACAGAGAACTGGGCATTGGCGGGTGCACCTTGTACATGCCCACCTGGGAGGGGCCGGGAGGGTGAACAAGAGTGAAGTTCAGAGGCGTGCGAGGCACAGTCTGTCCCCAGCCCGCCTCCTGGGCCCGGGCCTGAGGGACCTCACCTGGAACATGGCAGCCTGCGGGCTCCCCAGCTCGTGGAAGGGCGGGCGGCCTGTGGCCATCTCGATCACGGTGCAGCCCAGCGACCAGATGTCAGCCGCCTTCCCGTACCCCCGCGGGCCCTGGTCAATGATCTCCGGGGCCATGTACTGCAGGGTCCCTAGGCAGGAGCGGGAGCGACGATGCTCACCGAGGCCTTATCATCCAAACAGCTCCCACCACCTATCCTGTTTCCCACATCCATCTGTCTGAGTTTCCTCACTCCTCTCAGGGTCCAGCCCACCCATGGATTCCATCGCTGGCAGTGGGTTCCATCGTATAACCTGGACTCCACCATCCTCTCTGAACTTACCACCGGTGCTGGTCCGCATCAGCACTTCCGGATTCCATTTCAGGCGCTAACCTCCATGTCCCCAGCTCCCCAAGCTCCAGTTCTAGATTCCATCACCTCCCTCCTGGCTCAGCCGCCCGCCCCGGGTGCTACCCCGTTAAGTCTACTCCATGCCCAGGAGAAGCACCTTGCTGGGGAGGCCCCAGGAGTTCTGCCCAGGTCAGCGTTCCCACTCACCACCCCACACCCGCTACCTGTGAAGGTCTCTGTGCAGGGCGTGATGCCTGCCAGCCGCTTGGAGGTGCCGAAGTCAGAAATCTTGAGTAGCCCACTGAACGTGTTGATCAGCACGTTGTCCCCCTGAGGAGAGTGGATACGCTACTCAGTGGACATTAAGCTGGGGTGCTGACCCAGAACTGGACCCTCCCCCAGGATCCCATCTCCCGGGAATGACAATCTGACCCTGCCTCTCTCAACTTCCTCCCCGTCCCACCGCTCTGGGAGCTGGCACCTGGCTTGGCTTCAGATCTGGTCTCCTTCTCTAGGGACCCTTCTTGATGAATTCTCCCCCCCCCCCCCCCAGCTAAACCTAAACCGCCAGCCTCTGTCCGGGGCCATATCCCTTCCTCCCCGTCTCCACCAGCACGCCGGGTGGGCCGGCTCCAGGGCTTACCTTGATGTCCCGATGCACAATGCGGTTGTCATGCAGGTAGCTCAGTCCCTGCAGGATCTGGCGGGTGTAGAAGCTGATGGTGCTCTCGTTGTCCTGCAGGGGTCC